AAGATGGTAATGATGACCCTCATTTTATCGATTCCGTCTTTCTGCCTTGTCACTGACTACTATCCCAGACACCTCCCCTGTCGTCCTTCAGAACGGTGGACTACCTCTACCCTCGTCACAGATCCCTTGGGACTCCGTTACCCCCAACAAGAAACGGAACACATGTACCATGACATTGGCATCACTTGCTTCTTATCTCAAGCGGCCGCCTCTTCCTTTGCCCCATCCGATAGCCCACGGATGTTGTCAATCAGACAGAGGCACATCTCTGCCATGACGCCACAAGCACAGTCACCCATCTTAACGTCTCATTTGGTGGTTCTGGATCCTACTTGAGCTACGAATCCATGAATGTTGACAGGTGTAGGGCAGACAAGGGCAAGTGTGGTCACTGGTAACATGGGCCACATGGGTACCTCCTGGCCATGTACCGTCGCACAAACATTGCTGGCGTTGGTTAGGTTTTCCAATAGACTCGGGTAATGCTCAAAGGGGGTCTCTCATTTCCCATCAAGGTACGTCTCTAGGCTTTCACACCTTTCTTCTGGACGAGAGGTGGGGGCTCCTTGCCCTGGACATCCAGCCCAAACCATCGTGTTCTGTCTATTCCAGGTTGGCTTTCTTATCAGAAAGGTCAGCTTCGTCCAGTTGAGGAAAAGCCCGGTCTGGTCTTTCTTTTCTGACCCGATATCCCCTCACTTTGGCACATTCCCACGCTCGTTTGACCTGAGTAGACTTCCGACATAACATAGACAGACCAGCACAGAGAAGCAGGTCCTTTGATACCCAGGCAACACAACAGAATCCCACACATTATACCCGACGACTCCCCTTAAACCACACAGCACCAGGTTTTCATCCGACATTACACAGCTGTCTCACCGTGTTAGATGCAGATCGCTTAAAGACAGACGCTGTCCAAAGCCAAAGAAAACACATCCTGTATGCCGACCCCCGTCACCATTCCTAGGAATCCCGAGGAGGGGTCGTCTGAGAACCATGGGCTGACAGATTCGTCACAGGCACGAGACCAACTTCATCTAGTTCACCCTCTCTCATCCGTCACGGACGTCGGTCAATCCGTGTGATCGCTGCTCCCTTCATCCCATCTCCCCTCAGTCACTCACTCACTCTCCGGAAGGGTAATTCATATACCGAGTGGATAGGGAGGGCTGGGCTTCCGTCACAATCATGGGGATAGTGACTTATTTCAAGGCCAAGAAGCCTGAGCCGGCAGGCCAACAACACTCGGCCCCAAAACCATCGAGAGGTCGTCAACCTTCCACCGGGAACGCACAAATCGGTGAGGACGATGGCGACATACTCGCCCCTCCACAGGCCCGCTATGGCCTCGGCTCCAGATCCCACTCAGCAACACGTTCAATGATTTCGACGGCCAGTTCCGTGATTCTGGAAGATATCAAGCATGAGGTCATGGTCAACTATCTCTACCAGCAACAATGCTCGTACCTATGGGTAGCAAATGGCAGCGGCGAGATCGAGGGTGTGCTTCTTCGAAAATCGAGAGGCCAGTACATGGCCTGCCCGCCGGCCTTGGGAAATTCGCCCTTCGCCACGGCGTGTGCTGCTCTCAATGTTCAGGTATGGTTTTCAGGAAAGGGAGCGTTTGGCTGTTCCAAGCTAATAAACGACAGTGTGCAATGACTGTCAACTCACGAGTCATCAAGACCTTCCTACAATGGTCGCCAGATGCCGTCGATGTCCCGCTTCTGAACGGCTTGCGAGTCCAAATTCTGCCCACCATCGAAGACCTTCCTCGTGCCAGGAAACATCAGTTCGCCGCCTTTATTGCGTCAGAGGGGTTGCTGGTAGTTTGGGATGACGATGCCCTCCATCTGATCCCGAGAGCCAAGGAAATAGAGTCCGAGCTTATGCAGCTCGTATGGAAGACTGGTGAGCCTGGTGAAATGGAGGAGAAGGCTCATCCCATTCCGGGCATTACAGAGATCGATGAGGAAAGCGGCGAACCGAAGCCCGAAGCACGACCGGTCCACTTGCTCAACACCTACCTCGTCAGTATCACACTGGCGGTCGTCACAGTGTCTCTAGGAGCAGCCTGGAGGCAGCTGGCGATCGAAGTCATGGTTGACGGCGATTATATCCGTTTGGCTCTCGTTGCTTTGGCGCCCGTACAAATCTTCTTCACCCTCTTTTTCGCTCAGGTCATCATCGGTTGTCTGGCCCAAATCTTTGGCCCCATCAAGCAGCTCTCGGTCAACTCCAGGTTCTACTCGGCCAAGCCACCACCGAGATTGCAGACAGCCACACTTCCCCACGTTACTATTCAGTGTCCCGTGTACAAGGAGGGTCTCAGTGGTGTCATTGCCCCTACGGTCAAATCCATCAAGCATGCCATTACCACTTATGAGCTTCAGGGAGGTTCAGCCAACATGTTCATCAACGACGACGGTCTTCAGTTGATCTCGGAAGAAGATCGTCAAGCCCGTATTGACTTCTATGCTGACCACAGCATCGGGTGGGTTGCGCGCCCCCGACACGGCGAAAATGGCTTCACGCGTCGCGGAAAGTTCAAGAAGGCCTCCAACATGAACTTTGCACTCATGATCTCGTGCAAAGTGGAAGAAAAGCTCGCCCAAATTCCCAGACACCCCGAGTGGTCCCAGCATGACGAAGCCCAAGCTTATGAAAGGGCTCTGAAGGAAGTTCTCGAGGAAGACGGTCGCGCTTGGGCCGACGGCAATATCCGCATGGGCGATTACATCCTCCTCATTGACTCGGATACTCGTGTCCCGTCTGACTGTCTTCTCGATGCCGTCTCCGAAATGGAGCAGTCCCCTGACGTCGGCATCATGCAGTTCTCGTCTGGTGTCATGCAAGTTGTGCACACCTACTTCGAAAACGGCATCACCTTCTTCACGAACCTCATCTACACGGCCATCCGTTACACCGTCTCCAACGGCGACGTCGCCCCTTTCGTCGGTCACAACGCCATTCTACGCTGGTCAGCCATCCAACAGGTCTCTTACGAAGACGAAGATGGCTACGAGAAGTTCTGGTCCGAAAGTCACGTCTCGGAAGATTTCGACATGTCTTTGCGCTTGCAATGCAACGACTACATCATTCGTCTGGCCGCCTGGGCTGGTGATGGCTTCAAGGAGGGTGTCTCCCTTACTGTGTACGACGAACTGGCTCGCTGGGAGAAGTACGCTTACGGGTGCAACGAGTTGCTCTTCCACCCCATGCGCAAGTGGATTTGGAAAGGCCCTTTCACACCTCTCTTCCGTCGCTTCTTGTTCTCCAACATCCGTTTTACGTCCAAGATCACCGTCATTTCCTACATCGGCACCTACTACGCCATCGGCGCTGCGTGGATCTTGACTTCGGTCAACTACTTCCTCATGGGCTGGTTCAACGGGTTCTTGGACAAGTACTACGTCGACTCGTGGCAGGTGTGGTTCTCCATCATTCTCGTCTTCAACGGCCTGGGCAATGTGGCGTTGGCCGTGATGAGGTACAGAGTCGGGGAAAAGAGCATTCTTGGGGCCATCATTGAGAACTTCAAGTGGACGTTCATGTTGGCCATCTTCCTCGGTGGGCTGTCGCTGCATGTTTCTCAGGCACTGTTGGCGCACATGTTTGAGATTGATATGACGTGGGGCGCGACCAGCAAGGAGGCCGAGTTTTCGAATTTCTTTATTGAAGTGCCCAAGGTGTTGAAGAAGGTATGCTTACACCCACCCATTCATGCTTTCCCCTTTAGGAAAACAGGAACAATGACTAACAAACGGGGTAACAGTTCAAATTCTCAATGCTCTTCTCCATCGGATTCATCATCGGCATGGTCATCCTCGCCACGGCACCCTTCATCCCTCACTCATGGCACATTACCGATTTCGTGGCCATCTTGCCCATGGCGACGGTGGCGGCGAGCCATTTGTTGTTGCCGTTGGCGTTGAACCCGGCTTTGATGACTTTCTCTTGGTGAGAAGCAATCACAATGGAGTGGAGGCAAGAGAAACACGGAAGCCTCAAAGGGTGGGATTTCTTGAGGGAATTCTATGGACGTAATAGGGTCCAGTACAATATTAGATTGGGGGATAACATATCGGGGATAGGACAACAAGGTTGGATCTAATGGTGTCTTATGAATCGGCGCTCGGATAAATCTCACTAGTGGTGGGCAATTTCATGGGAAAATGTCGAATGAATGGGAACAACGATAGGTTAGAACGTTTGAACTTACTTCGGTAATACACAGTACAATCAAAGATGCGTTTGAACAAATTCGCTTCATCAAGCCAAGTACCGCAACCCAAAGATCTCGTATTTTCTTCAGCCTTGGCGGGTGTGGCTGCTTGGCTTTTCGTGGCAAGAGCTTGGAAAGGGTGGTGATTGGTAATTGCGCCCCTCCGAAGGAAGGCGGCTTCTGGCGGCTGATAGGCGCCTGTCGTGGAACGGGCCTGACGATAGGTAATGCGTGGTGTGTGCCGTATGGTGTTCAGATGCCCAACCCTGCCATCACAGGACGGGCTCTGTTGATGTGGCTATGGATGGGTGGGATTCGTTACCCCTGATGATCATTGCCATCGTGAAGTTGTGGCGGTATGAGGCGTAGACTTGACTTGAGTACTATGTATACCTAATAGCCGAAGGCTCAATTACGAGTATTAGGACGGACATATCAACACCTAGGTAAGTGAATCCACCCGGTTCCGGTATCCTACCCCGATGATACAATATAATGTGATACGCTCGCCCTTCGGATTGCACTGGTTTCCTTCACAGCATTCTTACAACTTCAATTATTGTATGCCAAGAACTTGACCTGACGTACCTTCCTTCCTTCTTTCCGCAACATAACCCATCTCGTAACTCACTGGTAACGTATAACCGGGCACCGACATCGGACCAGGCAGCAAAACAAACAACACCTGCCCTACCCGCCTTCCCTCCACCTCCCTTCTCTTGCCCTTTATAACCTGGTCTCCCTGGGTATCTTTCAACAACAAAGAAAGAAAGCGCGGTTAGTATAGTGGTCAGTACTCTCGTTTCCCAAACGCCGCTGTCAAGGACCCAAAAGAGGTTAATCAAACGAGCGGCCCGGGTTCGATTCCCGGACTGCGCACATCTTTTGCTTTTTGGGATGTCTTTTGTCTGTGTCCAAAAAGGAACAGCTATTTGCATTTTTTTTTCCTTCCTCATGACTTCCTCTATTCGTCTTACCACTCCAACGTTCCGGACTTCTGATTCGAGCATGCAAAGTCCGCGTCGAGCACATGCTACATAGCCCCGACGCAGGGCAGCCAGGAAATTTGGACGCGCTTACATTACATCCGGAAACCGCCAAAGCATCGGATTTAATGCATCATCAAATCAGGTGAAGCAATTGTGACGTCACTGAGAGTGATTCAACTCAACTCTGGCCGATGCTCGGCGTTTGGCAGTCGTGATATAATCTAATGCTGGTTTGTTTGTTAGCTTGGTACTCCTGGTACACTGGACGAGATGTCTTCCGAATTATCCCAAACCTTTTAAGGACTAAATGAATGAATGGCTAGGTCCAGATCCGAAAGGCATTAACAAGATCCAATACGGTGTATTTTGATTTGGAAAAAGCATATTCACAGCATGAAAACGCATTGGGAAGTTGACCCCAGGTCTCGAGCTAACAATCAAACCAGCATTGGACTGTACTTTTCTTGGTGTTGAACTTGTGACTTACAAGGCTGAAAGTGGGTCTAGGGTTACGGGCGGCTAATGTCACTATTATGACAGGGCAGGAGTGCACATGTCCCAACAACGCCAAACTACCAAAAGATAGAACGTAATTCTGCTTGCAAGGCAGAATCCGAAGTGCACACTATATAGGCCGTCACAACCCTGTGACAACTATCTACGAGGGCATCGTCAAGCACTAAATCAGTACACAGTAAGTCACCATTGAGGTCACTTGTCATACAACGCATCACACGGCAAGAATTGTGTTTGTGTAACATTTCATGTATTATCTGATGGGTCGGGAGGTGCTCCCCAGAAAAGAAATGTGGGTATCTCCAGCAAAGTTGCCAAGACAACATTGAAACGTCAGGCACCTCCCAGGTCTATTCCCAGACCAACCTAAAGTAATGTACCTCTACCGACTGTTCCGTCCACGTTCCTTCCAGACAGTATTCCATGCCCTTCTGTTTTTGCTTCTCAACCAAATATCATCCGACGCAGAAACCCATCGACGACGCTATAGCGGGACTCGACCGTCGGCGGTGTTTGCCCATCTTCATCGTCATCATAATCGTTATCAAGATCATCATCATCGTGCTGTTGCTGTCCACCCACATGCATTTCCGGCTGGCTGTGAGACTGGTGAGTTTGGCCCATCCTCTCACGACGCTCACGACCACGCAGTAGCATCCCGTCCACGACGCTGTAGCGGGACTCGACCGTCGGCGTCATCTGCCCATCGTTTTCGGTTGCGTGCTGTCCACCCACTTCCGGCTGCTGGTTGTGACTGTGAGTGTGACTGTGAGTGTGACTGTGAGTGTGACTGTGAGTGTGACTGTGAGTGTGACTGTGAGTCTGGCCCTCATTATGGTGCTGTCCACCCAGGGACATTTCCTGGCCCGACTGGTTCTGACCGTGAGTCTGACCCTGCCCCAGCCCCATCCCAACACCGTTACCAACCAACGCCATACTAATCGCCCTCCCCCACTCCATAGTCGTACTCCCGCCCTCTCCCCTCGAGGCCGCCTCATAATGAAACCCCTCGCACTCCTTGCACAGTCCCAGCTGCAAAACCACCATATCTGCATCGCCAAAATATTCCGGACAATCGCTGTGTTCCTGCTCCTTTTCCTGGGCAGTCATGTTCGGCAGGTCCATAAAGTGGGTGCAGAAAAACGCTGCACAGTCGATCCATTCAGTCTTGAAATCGTTCCAGTGGATGTGGCGCTGGGCGGACTCGAAATGGCGGGGGTAGAAGCCCGATGGCAAGGGTTCGCGGGTCGCAGGGAGCCGAGTTTCGGCTAGAGTAGACTTGATCAGGTCCTGAGGGTTGGGGTTGAGGTCTTGTTGTCTGGCGTAGGAGAGGTGGGTGAGTATCCAGGCCGTGGGGGTTAAAGTCCCGTTGGTGGGGGCGGGGATGGGGTAGCTGTCGATGTTCTGGTTCATGTTGGAGCCCGCTGAGGTACTGGCGGAGTGGCCGAAGAAGGGGAGACGTAAGGAGGAGGTGGGAGCGATTGGGGTGAAAATTGTGCCGAAGGGACTGCGGGGG